CTAGTGTCTCTCCCCCAGATGATATCGGATGGTAATGGAGGGAGGGCTTTAAGGAGGGATATTGAGTATTCTCAGCGACAGAGCTCTTGGGCCTCACTTAACTACAAGTCCCTCAACTCCATAGGATGTTGCCTTGGCAGTTAAAGTGGAATATAGTAATACAAGAGAGCCTTTGGACATTACTTTTTGTTGTGTGCCTTCAAGTCATTTCTGACTTTCAATGACATGAGACAGAGCTGCTATTGACTGCCAAACCTTGCAGGCAATGGAAAATGTGCTTCCTCAAGACATTGGAAGTTGCACACCTGACCTTCTCTGATCAGTAGTGGGTCTCCACAGTTTCAAAGTTTCCCCCCAACTATGCCTGTGTCCTTCAGGTAAAGTATGTGTTATGCTACTGACCACAATCTTTTGCCAAGTCACTTTCTGAGTGACCATAAGTGGCATGTCCAGTTCAGGACTGCATTCTGTAGACGTAACTGTTGTGGTATACAGTCGGTCCACATTTCCAAGTGCTTTTAATAGGCATGCCCCCTTCCCTCTTCTGGGGCCAGCTGTAATATTCAACAGAGTAAGGTAGGGGAATTTGAGTGTCATGTCTTGTTGTTGTTGTTGTTGTTGTTGTTGTTATTGTGTGCCTTCAAGTTGTTTCCAACTTATGGTGACCCTAAAGCAAACCTATCATAAAGTTTTCTTGGCAATATTTGTTCAGAGGAGGTTTGCTAGTGGGTTTCATGGCCGAGCTGAGAATTGAACCCTCATCTCCAGAGTCATAGTCCAACACTCAAACTACTATGCCATGCTGGCTCTGTCATGTCTATGGTACTTCATTAACTGAAGTATACCTATATCTGTTTCACATTACAGTTGGTAAAACTATAATACAAACATCAGGCGAGATTCTACTTGTTACACATACCAAATAAAATTGTAATTTGTTAAATTGATCAGAGAGCCTATGAAGGTAAGATGAATATATCTGAGTGGTAGCTTTGGACTGTGAGTTGATACTGAGCAAGGCAGAGAGGGAAAGCCTAAACCAGGGGTAGGCAACCTTTCCCCTTTTAAGGGCCGAGGGACTTCAGCTCCCAGAATCCCAGGAGCTATTGGCCAACATGGGACTATAGGGCAACATGGCTGAGGCTTCTGGGAGCTGAAGTCCCTCGGCCCTTAAAGGGGAAAGGTTGCCTACCCCTGGCCTAAACAGTGTAATAACTAAGTGCTAGAGTTGGAATCAGAAGGCCTGTGTTCAAGTGTACACCCAGTTGTTGTTATTACAGGTTGAGTCTCCCTTATCCAGGATTCCAAAATATTCCAAAATCCAGAATTGTCCACACAGGTGTTGGGAAACAAGCCTAATTTTGGGGAATTAATAATTAGCTCAAATGTGTGAGAGTGAAGCGCCCAACTTCGCTTCGGAGATCTTATCCAGGTGTATACCAGAGATATAAAAATTTCAGCAGGGAATGATGCTGGGAGGAACCAAACTCCAAATTAAAGTCTGAAATATTTATTAACACAATAAGGAAACACCCAAATACGGCACATGTACTAGAAAAATAAGCGGGAAAGAGCGAGAGCAGAGAAGGCAGAGAGGGATAACCAGGATAGAGGGATATACTTATGCCCAAGAGACTCCTCAGGACGTCTGACAGCGAATGTGGATGGGGAATGTGGATGGGTTCTGTGGAAGGGGCACGACCAGCAAGAGAGGGGGTCGTGGGAACTATCTCAGAGCACAGACCGACAGAGATTCAGCATGCACTTCCAAGGTAGCACAAGGTCTGCCAAAATCCAGGGGTTTTTAAGGGCGATTTCTGCCTTCTAGCCATGAGTCAAACAATAGGTGGACAAAGGCTTGATGGGTTTACCATTGTTTACCTAAGCATGGGCATAGTCTAAACAATGCATTTGGTTTCAAAACTATCAAGGAAGGGAAGCTAGAGAAAGGGGTGCAATCAAATCTGATCACTGTCCCATTAAGTGTGAGACTAAGACAAACAAACACCATTGTGTATCTTTTCCAGTAGAACAGGATATTCCCAAGGGCAACTCCCAAACCTGCCTGTCCAGGAAATCTTTAGTGGTCTTGAGCAACTTCAACAGTGCCTACCTGACCTTACATTTAGGGGATTATGGCTGCCATCTCCCAAGGGTCATAGGGAACTCCACATGGCTAAAATATACAAGAAAAATGGAGCACATCCACTAACACAGGTGGCTGAGATAGTGATATCTTTGCTTTTTGATGGTTCGACATACACAAACTTTGTTTCGTGCACAAAATTATTAAATATATTGCGTATAAAATTACCTTCAAACTATGTATATAAGGTATATACAAAACATAAATGATTTTCATTGAAACTGAATCGATAGGCGAGGTGTCCAGCGACTCCGTCGATGTAGTTATACTGGAT